AGGATCGAATTTAAATCTACACGCGGGTAGTCTTTCATCTACACGCATCGCGACTCTGTGCACAAAACAAAACAAAATAGGATCTCTTAAACATGCATCGGACATCCCTTACTTCGTCCACAACCATATGGTACAACTTTATTCTCAGCCATCCTGAATAACGTTAAGATAACATCTCACCGTTGATATATGCATCGATTCCCACCCCAAGCCATGCGTGTATCTTCTTTCGGGATTTCCCAGCATACATTGGTCTTTTCCATAACCCCCAAAAAAACTAAGGCCATCTACTGTTCAAAATGTGCAACTACAGCAGAAAATAACAGCTATTTTTGTTCACCTGGTTACATTAGCAATCAAGGACTAAGAGAGACAGAGTGAGGAAGGTGAGAGAGGCCAGAGTGGCCGGGCAAATCTGACACAATCATATATAGACACTGCAGCTCATTTATTAGACTTTACATCAAAAATGGAGAACACAGCATCCAGGGCATGCGGTTACAAAAAAAGGTTTGTGTATAGTAAAAAACACAGAAAACAAAAGAAATCACACCTAAGTATGGTGAATTTACCAAAAACCAACTATCAAAAGAAGAAGAAGAAGAAAAACACATCAGAAAGATTATTCTGCCTCAGGATCACGTCTTTGAGCTGGGCCCAGTCAGAGGAATTCATTTATGTCACAGGCAATGTTGTCACTTGCCAGGCAACAGGCAAAAAACCCTCTGGTGTGGCAGATCCAGCCTTGACAAGACTGCATGTCTATGTCGCTGCAGGCCAGTTCCATTGCCTGTAAGAGATTTTCCCTGGTATATGGGTTTCGGTCATAGACTTTCCACCACCATGCAGAGAAAAACTCTTTGGTTGGGTTGAGGAAAGTGCTGTATGGTGGAAGGAACACATTCTGTTCTTGGTCTTACTCTTCCTCGTCCTTTTGGTCCAACAACTCATATTCCTCTACCTCTCATATTGTTATTTATAGTTGATGGATGTACCCGTGCCATCTGTGCACTTTGAACTGGCTTATGATTTGTACCTTCTCATCACATAATTAGAAACAAATTTGAATCATTGTGTGTAAACGATGACAACTGTGCTTTAGTTGTGTTTAAGTTTTGTCTCATGTTTAGTGTTCATCACACAGGTTCAGCACAGTGCGAAATGTGTTTTAGTGAGAATGTGTTTAGAGTTTAGCAAAAAGAGTGCATGAGATTTGCTAACAGAGTCTAAGTGCCTGACCTTGTTTAAGGTTTTGCAGAAAGAGTGATTTATTCGACAAATTGGTTTAGGCTTTGAGGAAGCATTGCAGGTCCTTCAGAATGGTGGGAGTGGGCCAATTGATGACAGCAGAGATTTTGGATGGGTCAGCGCGGAGTCTTCCCTGTTCAATGATGAACCCCAGAAATGCCACGGAGGGGGAGTGGAAGACGCACTTCTCTGCTTTAACATAAAGGCGGTTTTCCAGGACTCGAAGAAGAACCTGGCGAACATGCTGGATGTGCTCTGTGAGGGAAGAAGAGTAAATGAGAATGTCAGAGGTAAACAAAAACGACCTAGGAAATCACAGAGAATATCATTAATCAATCCCTGGAAAACCACCGGGGGATTGGTGAGGCCGAAAGGCATCACCAGATATTCAAGGTGCCCAAGTGAGGTCTTGAAGGCAGTCTTCCACTCATCGCCCTCACGGATGCGCACAAGGTGGTAGGCACTCCTGAGGTCCAGCTTGGTGAAGACTGCCGTGCCCTGGAGATACTCAAAAGCAGAGGAGAGGTAATGGGTATTTATTTTTAACAGTAATAGCACTGAGACCACGGTAATCAATACATGGACGGAGGCCACTGTCCTTCTTCCCCACAAAAAAGAACCCTGCCCCCAGGGGTGAGGAAGAAGGATG